TGGACTCCAGGCCACACCCATGTTCAAGCACACTGCTGGGAGGAAGAAGTCAGAGATCCCACTGGTGTTACACCAGCTCGAGCCTGCGTGCTCAGCCGACTCACACAGAACACATACTGCTGACCTGCTGGGAAGGAAATCAAGGCACTTTGTAGTGACGAGAGATGTGCTTCGATATTCAAACCTGAGGCAGAGAGAGACTGGCCAAGAAAAGAAGAGAGGGAAGCCAAACAGCCCACTTGCTCTAATGAACTGGGCTGGCCTCGGAAAGTCCAGAGTCCCAACATTCATCATTTGGCTCAGCTTAAGGGTCATAAAATCATATGACTGGAAAGTAGCTTAAAAGTTATCTGTTCCAACTACTCTTCAGACTCCATTCTCTCAGAAGGCAGTGAGAGGTTGTCTGGCCCTGCAGTTGAGCTCCGGTGATGGGTTGTATCCCAGAACAGCATGCCTCAGCTCTGTCCTTGGAAACCTACCCCTTGCCTTCAAAATGCTGTTCACAGTGACCCAGTGATTTGAGTTCTGGGACCCAAGATTAAGGAAGTAAACCAAATATGGAGAGCACTAGATGCACAGATGTGTGTCTTACAGAACTGGGTAGTCTGTTTGGAGATTATAACGACAGAGAGAAACTTGACTGAAGAACACAGTTCTCTGGAAAAGACATTCTCTGAGCACAAGTTCTCTGTAAGGAGGCCTCTAATACAGTGAGCACAAGGGCACCCACCTTGTCAGCCAGATTGGAAGGCTGAGTCTCCATAGTCAATAGAATGACAGATATCACAGCCAGACCTAGCCACAGCAGGGCCCAGCCAGGTTCGGCAGCCCATGTGGTCTCTGTCATAACTACTCAGCACTGCCACTGTGGTGTGAAAGCAGCTCCAGATGATACACGAATGAGTGCATGTGGCTGTCTTCCAATAAAACTTTACAAAAGCAAACAGAAGCCAGATTTAGCCCTGGGCTGTAGTTTGCTGACCCTGATCTCCACCTTCACATCTATTTAAGTGGCAAAAGGAAAAAAAAAATAAAGAAAAAAGGAACTATCTTCAATGTCCAACCTAGGGAAATGGTTTAATAAGTTAAACTGTTGGAAAACGACTCATTCGATCCGTATTTATCAAGTGCTGGTTTATGTCAGATTCTGCTCTGAGCACCAGGGATAAGGCAAGAAGCAAGTCAGCTAAGCACTCTGCATCAAAGGGATGGATTGAAAATTCTTCAAGAGTTTGTGATAACAAGGAAAACCCTTACATTACAGTGCTATGTGAAAAGCAAAATATAAAATTATGTATAAAAATAAGACCAGGGCGCCTGGGTGGCTCAGATGGTTAAGCGTCTGCCTTCGGCTCAGGTCATGATCCCAGAGTCCTGGGATCAAGTCCCACATTGGGCTCCCTGCTCCTTGGGAGCCTGCTTCTCCCTCTGCCTCTCTCTCTGTGTCTCTCATGAATAAATAAGTAAAATCTTTAAAAAAAAAATAAAAATAAAAATAAGACCAAACAATGTTTTTAAAAAGACACACACATTTAAAACACACACACACACACACACAGGGAAAAAGAACAAAGAAAGAAAAATACTACAATGTTACGAATGTCTACCTTTGGCTGGCTCCACTACCCCTTCTCTTTACTTCCCCTCTATCTTTCAATTTTTCATGTGATCACATACTACTTTTACAATAAAACAGTCCCTCCTGTCGTATTTAAAAGGGGAAGCTGGTTTTGATTTTAATCTAAAGTCTGTGTCCCTCCTGCCTCCACCTGCAGTTTTCACCACTGTCTCTGAGGGCAATCCAAAAAAGCCAAGCTGCTGGGCCCCAGATGTTCAACCACAGAGGAGAGAGCTGGAGAGTTCAGCACCTGGGACAGCGCCATGCACCCTGGCAGCCCACCAGGCTCAAAAGTGAGCCACCCCAGGTGGGAGCCAGAAGATCAGGGAGCCTGTGCCTTTCCTCTCTGGTCCTCTGGCTGCGCCCACTTGAGACACTCAGGCAACACCTGTCAGAGGAAACATAACTGAAGCAGGAGAGAGAGGCTCTCTCTGAGCCTGCTGATACAAAATGGACCTAGCCCTGTGACCCAGACGGGGAGGAGAGGCTGTTGGATTGCTGGTAAAAAGGAAGTAAAAACAAACATTGCACAGATCCCTTTACCCACATTATTAGCTTGGGAGAGACTCGCAAACATGCCAATGCCAGTCACAGCAACATCTGCTTCTAATTGCTTCTCCCCAGCATTTTCAGAGCTTGTCAGATGGTGTCAGCCCTAGGAGAAAATCCAATATTTTTTTTTTAAGATTTTATTTATTTATTTGAGAGAGAGAGAATGAGAGAGAGTGAGTACATGAGAGGGGGGAGGGTCAGAGGGAGAAGCAGACTCCCTGCCGAGCAGGGAGCCTGATGCGGGACTCGATCCCGGGACTCCAGGATCATGACCTGAGCCGAAGGCAGTCGCTTAACCAACTGAGCCACCCAGGTGCCCTCCAATATTTTTAACAAACTCTTAAATCAGATGGCGTCCTTGGTGAGTAATCTCTTACGTGTTTGGTCTTTGAGGCTAAAAACAGTAAGCACACCTTTAAGGGACATGGCCGTCAGCAGGGGCTGGGTAATCAAAGGTCCCTCTTCAAACAGCATGACTAAGAGTTTCCAACACATGCAGCCCAAATATAAGTGTTCCAGTGTTGTTGTTGTTGTTGTTGTTTTAATTCCACTGTATCCACTTCTTTACGGGTAACTTTTCTCTCTTTTCCAAATATTTTTGTAAAAAGAAGTTTATGAAAGAAAAATACGAGATTTTTTAAAGAGTACATCTCTCTGTGCTTTAATTTTCCCACAAGATACCTACAGACAAAACTTTACATTTTCTTTTAAAGACACTGTTTCTGTTCTTAGGTTCTCAAAACACCAGCAGCCCCTTCCAACAGCCTGTTGGGAAAGCTCCTTCCTGCAGTGGCTAACTGAACCTTCAAATCTGGGAAGTCCAAGGTGGGGCAGGAGGCAGACCTGGAGAGGAAGCCTTCAAGGAAGAACCTTTTGGTCCTGCAGCAGGCTGGAGCCCTTCAGGGTGGGACCTCAGAATATCCTGAATCCCAAATGCAGGAGGATACTCTGACAGTCTGTACCTTCTTCTTTCAAAGTTAAGCTTAACATGGGCTTTATTATAAACTACCCTGGCCGGGTGCCTCCTTTAGATCAGGGCAGTGCTTCTCAGATCTTGAAAATTAAATCATCCTAAAGTCATGGAGCACCCCTAGAGGCAGCCTGGCCTTGGCTCTTCCTCATTACTCCTCCATGAACCCATCGTCCTCAAGCCCTGGCTTCTCACTGCTCACCCAAACCAAGACTCACATGACTGAGCGCCTCTCTGCCCAGGGCCAGTCTCCTTGCCTGGAGCCCACGCCCTGCCAGGTCAAGTCGGTCACTGGTCCCCATACACATTTCATACTCCTACCTTCTCTACATACACATTCTGCATGGCTGCCTTCCTCCTTTATTCCCTCACTCAGTCAACCAAGGCTTGCTGAGTACCTACTCTTTTCCAGGCATGATTCTAGGAGCTAGAAGTCAACAGCAAACAAAACAGACAAAAATCCCTCCTCTGGCAGAGCTTATGTTCAAGTGAAGGCAGACAGACAAATAAATAAACATAAAATCCACATACACCAGGTGATGATAAATGATAGGGAGAACAGTGAGGTAGCAAAGGGGACTAATGAATGCCAGGGGGTGAGCATCAAGGTGGTCAGAGAAGTCAGAGAATGCCTTATTGGAGAGGTGGCATTTGAACAGAACCCTGTAGGAGAGAGGGAGGGAGCCTCTACAGAGAAAATGGGAAAAGAGCATTCCAGGTGGTAGGTGCAGCAGGTGCAAAGGCCCTGAGGCAGGAATGTGCTGATGTGTTTTAGGAAAGGCAAGGATGCTGGCGGTGAGAAGGCAATGAGGGAAGATCATGTAGGCCTTGTAGGCCACTGTGGGGACACTGGCCTTTACTGGGAGCGAAATCAGAGCCTGGAGGTTCTGACCAGGGGAGAGGTACATCTGACTTGCACTGTGACAGATCACTCTGGCTGCTGTGTTGAGAACAAACTGTAAGGAGCAGGGAAAGAGAGATACCACACTGGAAACTACTGCAATTATTCCAGCGAGAGTCAATGGCAGCTTCAACCAGAGTTACCACAGGATTTGCTCATGGTCTGGATATGGGGGTGAGAGGAAGAGCAGAGACAGGGATGATTCTGATGGTTCTGGCCTGAACACCTAGACGGGTGGAGCTGCCATTTATTACATGGGTGAAGGTAACAAGAGCAGCGCCTTGGCGAAGGGGGACGGGGTGTTGGCTGGGGTGGAAACCACTTCTCTGTGGGACTGATCATGACCAGCCTCTTAGCTCCAGAAGGAACGTGGTCTCTAAGAAGCCTTCCTCACATCAAGCTGAAAGTGCTCACCCCCTGAATGCTGGTCGCCTTTCCCTCACTCCCCCACAAATCTCTCTTTCTCCCTCACACACATGCACGCATACACACATGCGTGCACATGAACGCACACACATGAATGCATGCATGCACACATACATGCACACACACAGGAACGCACACATGTGAATGCACACACACGTACACGCACGCACGCACACACACATACACATACAGTGCCTCTCCACACCAGTTATCTGCATCCACACATTATTCCCTTGAGTAACCCAAAAGCCAATTCATTCTATACCATCTGGAAACATTTGCATACAGTAGATGCTCAGTAAATGCGTTCAGTAACAGGCTACATAGAATCACACCTCTGATGTTTCAATATTCTAACAACTCAAGAATGTTCTTTAAAAACAACTGCACATTACACTGACCACGGATGAAACATGAATGGTAATTACCCCATCTCCAGGGTCCTGCACCTAGATGCTGGCCCACCCCCAAGCATTCACACCGCCGCGGCAAGCTCCCCTGTGGAGAGGCCGCAGGAGGAAGATGGGCATCACCTTGCCGGTCCTTATATCCCAAGCTTTGACTTCAGGGTGGAAGCCTCCACACACAAAAAGGCTGTGGTCTTTTGGATGAAATTTCAAGGTAGTGATCCTGAAGTCACTCTGACCACTGAAGAGCTGGGTTCCTGCAACACCAAACAGAGAAGAATGAGTTAAAAAATACTCAGATCACAAAATATATACCTTAAAACTCAGATGCCATCTAGTGCAGAGCTATAGGCAGATGCAGCCCATCTGGGCCCGAGGGGGCCACGAGACTTCCTGGAAGCACAACAGGGGCAGCAGCACCTTCTGCCTCACGAGCTAGCCAGCCCCCCCCACCCTTGATTAGCTGAACTCCCCTAGAGCTAAGCTAATGGCCGGACCCATGAACACCGCCACCTTTCTTGTGTTCTATAAATACTGCGATTCAACTCATCTAAACCACACAATGCCCTACACCTGCTCCACAACTGGAAAAAGCCAAGGCTTGGGGAGATTAAGTAACATTACCAAAGCTGCACGATTAGTACGGAGATTATTTACCTAGGAGTCTAAAAACAAAAACGCAGGATGCTCCAAACTGGTCTTTTTAGGATCAGCCATCTTACAATCATGACCGTACAACAACCCATGAATGGCTTGCTACAGGGTATGGCAGGTAGGGGTGACATGATACTCTGGGCAACAAATGAGAACATGACACCACGGGGGCCTGAGTGCCAGCATGGACAGATGGTGTGGCCAACTGGGGGTCTCAGGATTCAAGACAGTCCTTGTCCTTTACCTATCTGTCATGAAACTGCGGTCAGGCGCTCGTGCACCTGCAAATGTGTGTGTACATGTACACATACAGTGTGGAAAATGTCTGTTTTGCCACTGGGATCTTTTAGAGGTAAGCTATATAAATAGGTTGAACTCAGGGAATGTGGGGAACAGATCTCTGACCCTGAGCTCAGGTCTGTGGGGTTACAAAGCCCGTCCTCCCTTCCTGTATGTGGTGCCACCTTATATCCCAGAGCACTGGCTATAGTTCTCATGTGTTCAATTCAACACCACTGAAAATGCATCCAAAAACCAGACTGGCCTTGGAAGCCATTCTCACCACCAGCAGTCTCAGTGCTGCCTCTGAACATACCCCCAGGGGCCAGGCCATTCCACACATCCCAGGCATGGTACCTGCTTTGCACCACACCCACCAGGAACTTGAAGGTGGCATCCCTCAGAGATGTCAGCAAGGGCTCCCACAGCCCAAGAGGGACCACCCTGACTGCGCTTGGCTCACAGAAACTCCTCCGCTGGAGAGGCAGTGGGCAGTTAGGGACACAAGAAGCCGGTGCCCAAGAAGGAGACCAATGTGACACCAAGATCTCAAGCACCGCTTCCTCTTCTAGGAACCCAGAAACCGTGTTTGCTCATTCATTTCAGAAAGCACTCCCAGCTGCCCTGCTTTGTGTTCAGGACCCCCACACAGTGCTCTACCAGCTCACCAGGTAAGGAAATGAAAGTCATCGACTAGTACTCTCAAGTTACAGCAGGAGCCTTTATAAATCCAATTTGCCTAGATCCGTGGTCTCCGCACTCTTCTGACAGCATGCCCCATCAAGGAAAAGCCCTTAAGCACGTATCTCCGAGATGTGTGTTTGTAAGTACACAGTGTGCTACCATGCCAATAAATTATGAGCATTAAAACACCAAAAATAAACCATTCTAAAGGATGAGACAAGGACAAAATAACCAGTATTTTCAAGTATATTTTAACATGCCATTTACTAAATGCATCAACAAAGCCCTTTGAAATCATTAAACCAAATGAGTTAACAACATTTTTAGTGAGAGCTACCGAACTGGCTCCACTTCCGCTTTTTTTCCAAATGTAGGGAACTTTCTGTGACTCAGTGATTTGAAAGTAGCCCAGTTACAGCTTCTGTTTACCCATCGAAGCCTGTCAGAGCTAGCAAAGACTTCTCCCAGAGATGCACAGACCTGGACAGAAGACATTCACCGCCGGGATCAAGGGAGATGCTGTCTACTCCCATCTGCCACTGATCCAAAGGAATGTGTGAACATTTTACTAGGAAAGCTCCGTTTCCCCTCAGGTCAAAGAATGGTTCCTGCGACTAATCAGAGGGTATTACTGCATTCTCACATTTTTAACAACCAAATTCAAAACCCACCAAAATTTTCATTTAAAGGATTTTAGAGCAGACGAGAAAAACTGCTCCCAAGTTAAGAGTGCAGATATTAGCGTTTTTAATAGGTGACACATTCACGTACTTTTTGGCAACAAAACCTACAGAATGATGGAAACAAAAACATCTATTTTCAAAACGTTCTTCCCATAGTACAAACTTCTTGGAGAGCAGTTACTCTCTTGTCTTTATTAAAGTGTCACCTTTCCCATGATGGATGATTGTGATTTTTTTTCTAACATCTTCCAAGGTCCCACAATTTGCAGTTACTTATCATCAGAGAAAATTTGGGGAACACCTGCGGTTTTGTAAATGAAGATTCTACACTTCTTTAAGCTCAACAAGCCCCTGTTGTTGAAATACGCAGTGCACAAAGATTTTCATGGTCATCCTATGTCACTGCAATGGTGTCAAGAGCTGGCCACCTCGGGTCCTATCACCCGTGATGGTGAAGGGACTATAAACAACACTGTCCAACCCAAGGAGGGCAGTTAAGGCAAATATGGGTGTCTGCCTGGTGGAATGTTGAAAAGCTGTTTAAAACTGGAATCACAGACAGTGCTCTTTGGCAAGACGGACAGTACCTGATGCCTATTCTTGAATTATAGAAGAATTAAGTAGGGATTGGTATGGATAGAGACTGGGAAAAAATTCACCAACGTGAAGTGAATTGTTCTACGGGTAGTGAGATAACTTCTTAAATTATACTAATATTGTTGTCATAGTGCTTTTTTTTAATAGATAAAGAATTCTTCCGAAAAGGCATCGGAAAAATGAACAGACTTAGTCTGGGGCCTATGTGTCTCTCTCATTAGGTCAATAGACAAGCAACTCTCTAACAAACAAAAACTCCCCTCCTTAGGAATTAACTTAACTGGAAACCTGGTATTACTTGAGCTTCCTCTTCTATCCTGAAACTTGTTCAGGCTACAGTTGGTGGTCAGAAACCACCCATGATGTGCCCAGTTAACAGATGCCCCCTCCTAGGGAGGATGGGGCAGAGGGATGCCCACCGCGGTCTCCACACATCCGGGCCAGGACACGGAGCAGCACTTGTGGGGACCTCAGGATGGGCATCAGACTCCAGCTCAGGCCCAGGACGCCTGCTCCAGCCAAGCAGCTAGGGGATCCATCCATGGGATGAGGGAAGGCACGACCATTATGTCCCCCAGATGGAAAAGGGGCACATAGATGCCACTGTGGCCCCCACACCACCGAGAAGGCCCCAGCAGGCCCGAAATCTGTCCTCCTGACGGAGGCAACTGTGCCCACTGCTGACCTCTTGCTCATTCAGATTCACTGCCAGTCCTTAAGCCCAAAAGGAAGAACAAATGATCTGCCTAGAGAAAAATGTTCCTTGTTTCTTGGACCATGGCATATAACCATATGCTTATTTCAGAAATGGCAATGAATTAGCCATATTTTTTCAAAAAGTGCAGTGATACAGTCTTGCCAACAATGGGGAAAAGATGGGAGGAAAGCGAAAGATGAGTTGCTAAAAGATGAGGACTGAGCTTTTTCTGCTAAAAAAAAACCCATGTATTTCTGCGTGTTATTCTTCAACCTCCTAAAGAGATTGAGAAGAGAATCTATGTCTCTTAAGTACTAAAATGTTCTTCTTAGAAGACAAGCTTTATGTCTTTCCTCCTAGTTTTGTTTATAAGAACTAGGTCTTTGCTGTATTTGTTTGTTAAAAGGGTCCGAAACTAAAAGATTTTAAAATTTCTAATAAGCTTCCAGATACATAATGGGAAACACGAAGGGAAGGAGGTCGAGCACAATACTGTGGCTCAGAAATCAGGACCCCAGCCACCACTGTCCAGCACTGTGCTTGGAACAGGAGGTGGCGCAGTCTCAGAGGGGCTGAAAGCCACAGACCCAGGTGCCATCCCAGCCCCGTCACTTCCAGAGGAGGGACCCTGGAAAGGTCCCTTGGGCAGGTCCCTCACTGTGGTGTGTCCAGGGCCCCACAAGGCTGTCCGGAGGGTGACACACAACATACATACTACATATAACATAAAGTGTTCTGGAGGACATGGCAAAGAGCAAACAACAAAAGGGAGCCTTTGACTATTTGAAAAAAATTAAACCCCAAATTACTGAATTCATCCTTGCTTAAATTAAAAGCTAAAACCAGGGGGCTCCTGGGTGGCTGAGATGGTTAAGCATCTGCCTTCGGCTCAGGTCATGATATCAAGTCCTGGGATCGAGCCCCACATCCGGCTCCCAGCTCAGCGGGGAGCCTGCTTCTCCCTCTCCCTCTGCCTCTCCCTCTGTTTGTGCTCTCTCTCTCTCAAATGAATAAATAAAATTTAAAAAAAAGAAAGAAAGAAAAGAAAAAAGCTAAAACCAAAGGCTGTAAGTTTTTAACAGCAGGAACCTTGAGAGAGGAATGATCTGGAGTTTCTATCTTGAGGCTATGAGAACACAATGCCCTGGGCTAGCCTTTCATTTTGTTGAAGAGACATGGACAAAGGCTGGAGATATTTATCGGAGACTATCTCCAACGTGAACACTAGCCACGCTGAAGGTGAAGGTCCTTTCTCGTCAGATTTGTTCCCACTCTACCTTCTCATACATCAAGTACCTTGTTTATCACGTCCTCTGGCGATGCTACTTTAAGCACAATGGCTAGTTGCTACGTAACCTTTAACCCTGAGACTATCTTTGCTTGTTTACAGGTTTGTTATAGAAAGTTCTATTTATTCACTGTATGCTGCTTATAGGAAACTGAGTTTTTAAATATTTAATCCACTAACACTGGCTTTATTGATCTGGTTATAATGAACTCAACCAGTACAAGAACTGTTCAGATCCTCTTGGAGTTAGGAAAAATCACTTCTTTTCCTCCTTGAATCAATAATGATACAAATAAACTATAAATCGTCATTAGAGCAAAAATATGTTTAAAACAGATTGCAGAAACTTAATTTGTTCTCTTGACACTATTAAAA